TTTTCCCGACCCAGCCCAGACTGCCTCCATAGACACCTTTTGCATTGCACCTGCAGGGGCCCAGGGGTGCCAGGCTGGGGGGAGGACAAAGGCCTCCATAGCTGCTCTGAGGACCCCCTTTCCATCTCCCTCCTTAGCATGGGTGCTGCCCAGCAGATTCATCCACAACGTCTTTAAGTATCACTTTCTTTTTGCAGGACGTTCTTGAAAGCGTTCCCGTTGATGGGAGAGACACAGGAGCGGGAGCGGGTGCTGATTCATTTCTCCCGGCGATACTGCCAGTGCAACCCAGAGGAGAGCACGTCTGAAGGTACAGCTTTCTTTCCCTGGCTCTAATGCCTGTTGCACACTCACAGTCCGCCTGTGTGACAGATCCTGAGTGTAAAACCAACCATTCACAGCCAGGCCTGAACAGCATCCGCTGGGTGAGCAAGGCTGCAGCTTCTCTCTTTCTCTGGAGTCCTGCCCTGCTGATTATCCCTGCCCTGGGGGGGACTGGGGACACCAGGTGCTGTACAGACCTCCCCCCCAAGAGAGCCAGATGAGTTTCCTCAGGATCTGAGGGTCTGAGTATGGGGTCCCAAGGAGCCTTGCCCTCTCAAGTGCATATGAGCTGTGCTGAAGACAAGCTCCTCAGCTGTAGCCTTGATCGGTGGCCATGCTTTGCCCAGCACCAGGGGAGGTGGTGAGTGGTTCTCGGGGATTGCAAATTACTGCAATCGTGGCTTGGAAAGTGGTTGCTGGCTGTGGGAAAATGAGTGGCTGGTGCTAGCTCAGCCCAAGACCTTGTCTATTGAATGGAAGAAGACATTTCCATGCAGATTGAGGAATGCTGTTAGCTTGCCATGCACAAGAGTTGTATTCCTTGCATCTACAACTGCAGCAGGGCAAAGTGCAGCTGGGTAAAATTCTGGGCTCACTGGAGTTGCAGATTTTGTTAGCTCTTTTCAGCCCCTCATAATTTTTTTTTTAAGTAGATGTATTTTCTTCTGACATTTTCAAAGGGAAAGGTCATGCCTGGTACACACGTGCACACACATGCATTCAGACATGAGCATGTCCACGTTGGCACTTACGTGAATGCCTCTATGCACCTGCTTACAGGCATCTAGAAATGCCCCCATGGGTGGAAATCAGTCTGCTGACCTGACAGCAGTGCCAGTTGCTCCTCCTCCACCCCTTCAGCACACAGTATGCCACTTGTGTCTGACAGCTCCTGCTTGTCTTGGTCTTGCAGGCTTCCCAAATAGCAGCAGTGCCCAGTGTCACCCAAACCCTTCAGTGCCTCTGCCAAGCTAACTGGACACAAGCTATTCTCAAAACAGAATGATCTCTTCGCTTTTATCAGTGGTATCCCCGTAAAGTACAGATTCAATTTCCCTGTGTTTGTGTGATGTTCTCCCCCACTGATGCAAAGAGGACCTTTCCCTGCAAAGGGTCATCCACGTGTAGACATTAAGCTGCAGGCTGAATTTTCAGCAGCAGTCTCCAACTGAAACATCCCAAATGCCAAGTCTTGACCCCTCTTCAACACCTACCCTTGGAAATGATCCACAACCACGTTGTATCCACCCCCACTCCTACAGACAAGGGTCTTGGGACCATATCTCCGCTTCTGGTCCTCAGGTGTCTGACAGCCACTGCAAGGATGTGCACACACCGACTTGAGCAGAGGCTGAGCTGAAGCGCAGGGGGTCAGATCTCAGACTCCATCCCACACCCTTCAGCATGAGGGTGTTTGGAGGGCAGTGACAGTCAAACAAAACACAAGCTTTGCCATGGCAACGTGGTTTACAAAGCTGCCAATGGAGCCACGCTACAGCAACTGTTTGCAAGAGAAATTAGATCCCAGTTCTGAAAGAGTCTGTGACAAGGTGCCTGCTAATGCAAACACAAATGAAGCCAGAAAATTAAACTCTTCCATAACTGCATGGCCCTCAGTGGAGACGTCACTGCGGCTGATAGGACCTGTTTTAAAAATGTTACACTCCTAAACAGTACAAAACTATTCAGAGTAAGGAAAACTGGATCTGAAACACATTACTGCTGCTGCTGTCATGACCTATCATTAACATTTAGGGCTACAGCATTGCCTGTGATGGTGGCAACACATTTCACAAGGCTGGGCAGGATCACTTACTGCAGACCAAATGTAAACTGAAGGATTAAAACAGGATAGAGCTGCATGCAGTAATGGAATTGAATGGGGCTTGAAAAATACAGTTGTAATCCAAGTACTGGAGGGAAGCAAAGTGGCTCCTTCAGGTCACATCTTTTGCAGATACTGCAAAAACATGCACTAGATGTGTGGTTAATTTGAGAAAGCTATTGCAAGCTCTTTCTTCAGGAAGCAATTCCTTCTTATTGCATCCAGCCTAAACTTGCAAAGGATGTTCCACCAAGATGAAATTTGAGCCACTGTGTGTATCTAGATTTCTAAAGAAACACCTCTGGCTGTGATGGTCTATTGGCATAGAGGCATGATAGAGTCAAGGCAGTTTTCTCTGATCAGGGTGGCTGAGAAGGTCTTAAATCCCTCTAAGGCATTTCAGGGCATTGCTACATGCTGATTCAATAACTCTGATGGAGACATGGCTGTTGCAACACCAAGAGTAACTTCAGCCTGTATGATGGGATGTTGCAGATGAAGGTAGCAGAAGCTCTGACCTGCTGACCACTGAGTGGCATGGCTGGTTTTTCTCCCAGAGAGTGGTGCCTTGGACACATTATTAGTTCTTTCCTGTACTAATGAAGCCCAGACATGGAAGAACTATATGGCTATGTTGTGACACTGTGTGAGCTGAGGGAAAAAGTGAAAGCAACTGATCCAAGCAACAGCAAGAGAATAGCAGGTTTTGGGACACCAGCTCCACCTTGGGGCCATGTGGGACATGAATTACCTGACCAAAGTGAATACAGTAAAGGCAGGTGAAGATATCAGCCCAGAACCTCCCACAGAGACTCCAAAATACACACTGGGAAGGCATGTTGTCCGAAGCCCAAAGCTGCTGCTTTTGAAAGTGAAGGAAGCATCTTTCTTAGGAATTGATTCTCTCTTGAAGGGTGATGTCCGTCATACCACATCCCCAGGACTGTCAGCCCTCATAGAGAAATACGTGATGTTCCCATGAGAAACCCTTCCTTCCTCAGAGACCATGGTTCTTCCAGGAAAGGGAGAAGCTCATGGGCTCAGTTGCCTTCATCCTGAGCTTGTGGTTTTGGTTGCCTTTAGCTGGTAGCATTTAGAGCCTGGCCTTGAGCATGAGGTGTTCAGGGCTTGTCACTGTTCCACACAAATGGTGCCTTTGTCTAGTGACTGACCGGGATGGGGACAGGCCACAGCTGGCTCTCTGTGGCTGCACATCTCCCCCACAAGAAGAGACTAGTGGCACTTCCCTGCCAGCCTGGGGGTAAGTCACAGCCTGACTCCAGGGCACCAGTTCACAGAGCAGCATGCACAAGGGAAATAAGCCAGGAGCATCATGTCATGTCTGGCTTGGTCTATGGAGCAGCCCATCTGTGTGAGCACACCAAGTCAAGATCAGGGCCAAAGACCAAGGCTGTATTTTGGCCCCTGCCTCCTCCCTGGTGCTCTCTAGCCCTTTTATGAATCCTTGCAAGGACTGGTTCCTGTGCCAGAGTGCATTTACATCTCACTGTTGTGAGGTGGTGCATGGAGACTAGTCTCCTGACCTTGAAGAGCTTCAGGACACAGCATGGTTTTGAAATAACAGGAAGCCACCAGGCTACCTGGTACAGAAGAGGGTGCTGTGCTGTCTCAAATGGAAGGAAAACTTCATGTGAGTTTTATTAAGTCAGAGAGCCAAAAAACGCTGCACTCATTTGTAGTAACAATGTTTGTTGAACAACTCAAGAGCTTACAGGCTGCCCGGGAATGATGGCTGAGGGCCTCAGGACAAACCCCTGAGGTGACTGTGATCAACTGGGGGGAAACTAGCTGTTTGCCAGGGTCTGTGCTCCATTCTGCAACAACATTGACACAAAATGGATATGGAGGAAGACTCAGCGGAAAGTCTGGTCTTTAGAAAGCCATTGACAAAACTGCTTTAAAGCCAATTACCTGATGATCATTTCAGGAAAAGGTAAAATTTGAAAGAAAAAAAGATACTAGTTTTTTTTAACTATCTATCTTGTGCAGTTGAAAGAAACAGGTATTCTTTAAAGTCCCCAGACATAGCACCTAGCCTTAGTTTTGCAATAGGTGGGTTGCCAAGACAGCAAACATCAAAACCACGTGGGAAGGGGAATAATCATAGCCCTCTGACTTGTGTGTTTCAGATGGGATTCACACGCTCACCTGTGCCCTGATGCTGCTAAACACAGACCTTCACGGCCATGTAAGTAGTACTCCGAGATGCATCCTTCCTTTTTTCCTTCCCAGCACAGAGGTCTGTCCCCTTATGCAGGATGTGTTGCTGGAAAATTGAGATAGGTTGGCAGAGTGTCCTGGTTCTGGCAAGGATAGAGTTAATTACCAGGACACAGAGTACACTCAAGCTAAAGGCACCTGCTGACATGAGTTATCTCATACAGGCACAGGCAGTGCAGCTTTCTTCCCAGGACCTGTTGCATGCATCAGCCCTGTCCCAGGAGCTCTCATGGAGAAGTCTTTGCCAACAGTCTCTGTGGAGCTGGCAAACAGCAGCACCAAGTGTGGTGCAAACACCCGAGGTTCCCCTCATCCCATAAATGGCTGCAAGGGAGTCAGTGCTTTCATACAGGTCTAGATTTGATCTTTTCTTCCCAAAACACGAAGTAAGTCTCAGCTGTTCCTTTTCCCCAAGGTGTAACAGACAGACACTGGAGAGCTTCACACCAGAGAGGCCTCTGGACAAAGAGCAGGGTTAGCAGAGCTCAGTGCCCAAAGGTGTGGTTAGAAAACAGCAGAGGCTGTTAAGACCATCTCTCACCACCTTTCAGAGGCTCTTTCAGGTGGCGTAGGTTGGATTTGTTCCTAAAAGGTCAGCCAGAGTGTAGAGAGGAGAGCAGAGTGAGAGGAAAAATAACTGCAGAGGGGAGACGGACTGCGCATAGGGGACAGCACTGGGACATTGAGTATCCTTGGAGACCCCTGCCATAGCGTACATCTGGGAGGATGCATGGACTCTGCGCCCTGCTCAGTGCTGTGGAAGGCTGTAGGCACTGTTGACACAGTTGTCCTCCCTGCTCTCCAGCTTCATGGTGCGGACACAGAGCATGGCTGTGAGTTTCAGGGGCACTGTGTCCCCTTTACAGGGGTAGAGGGGCTCCTCAAGTCTCGGGTCACTGAAGTGCCTTCTTTCATAGCCCATCTAAGAGCGCAGACTCCCCAGAACTCGTGTGAAGATAGAGGGGGCATGCCAAGATGGCTTGTTATAGCAGTCCGTGCGTGTGAAATCCACACACCCTTTTTCTGCCCCACAATCCCATGATTTCCAAGCTGTGTCATCAGAGTCCTCTTCTGCCTCCAGCTGGTAACAATTTGTTATGCATCTGCAGAGGCTTGCCCTGATTTTCTCCTCATTAGTCTGTTAATGAGGGGACACTAGGCCATAACCTAGCTCTTTTTTTGCATATTAGTTTATAATCACCTTTCAGAGGAGCCTTTTTCTGTGGGTGTGGGAAGAGTGCTCTTCACCTATGATGGCAAGGATGCAAAGGCCACCAACCTCACTGGTGCCATCCTGACAGTCCACCCGGGGGAACCATCCTCATCATTACAGCACAGATACTGCCTCTACGACAGTGGCAAGGTTTGAACACAGCAGTTAGTGAATGGAATTACTGGTCTCAGCAAAAGCATCCTTTCCAGATGTGCACTGTGGCCTGCACCAAGCTGGTTACGGCTGCTGCAGCCTCATCCTTTGGGGAACAGGCAGCCTATGACCAAGGTTACACCGGCCACTGGGTCCGTTCCCACCCACATGGCTGCCAGTAACATGTCTAAGCAAAGTGTCTCTGCACGCGGTGGCATAGCAGTGGAGGCAGCTTCTGGGAGGGTCTCACACAGCATTCATCCTTCAGCCAAAATGGTTGGAGCCAAGGGGATATTTTCATCAAAGCACTTCCTGAACAGCAAAAGCAGTATTGTGGCAGAAAGCAAACTATGCAACTGCATTCCAAAATAATCTTATTTTGTGTAGGTTTTTTTTAATTTAAAAAATACAAAATATATCTCTGGGAAGATAGAAATGATTGAAAAGGCAAAAAAACACCTAAACCTCCAAGACCTTACCATTTCTATTTTTCATTGACAAGCTGGCTAAGAGGCCTGGTAAGAAGAAATTATGTCATGCTATCTAGGCAAAGAAAAAGTAGCTTTCTTTTGACCTGGTGTAGAAATACCTGAGCTTTTCTTTGAAAAAATCTTCTTTTTATTTTTCCACATGTGTAACATTAATTTCTTCTCCTTCTCCTCCTTTTTTTTTTTTTTTTTCCTTCCTTCTGCTCCTGGAACCTCTCTTTCTGCTCTTTAACCCTTTACCAGGTGGTAAGTGCAGTCATTCTAGTGTTTTGCTTTAAAGCACTGACATTTGACTTATTTTTTTCTGTATTAAAAAAAAAAAAAAGGATTTTTGTTTGTCTGGATTCCTAAGTGGTTGTGCAGTGTCCTTCACTACGTAGCAGCTGATATACATCACATGAAATTCTCCTTGTGTCAAGAAACCTCCATAAACTGCAGTGTACCTGGGATTGTGTGACTTGATCTCTCACCTGTTTTTGTTAAAGATGCTCTCATGACATTGCATATCACTTTTAATTTTATTTCCTTTTTGATTTTGTGTGTGTGTTTCAGTGTTTTACTGTGCATTGCCATGGAGTGGGAAATTCCTTTGCTTAGGAAAGGGCGGTTGATATGTCTCTGTAAAGGTGCAGTGCCCTCCAGCAGCGTTTCTACAACGGGCTAGTTCACCATTCCAGCAGCGACCATCACATATACTGAGTCCAGGCTTAAAAGTAATGAGACTGGCTTTAAAACATGAGATTTGCATCTGTGAACACTGGAGTTTTGCCTTAGTACTGTTGATTTTCTACCACAGGTGCACTCAGAGTCTGTTTCCAAACTGCTCAGAAAACTTACTGTCTTTAAAATGAGACACTCCATTTCCATAGAATCACCTCGAGTTGGTGTTTAAAAGCCAGCAGTCACCAACAAACATTACAAGCCTTGCAGTATAATCCAGATTGTTGCAACTCTCTACCTTGCTCTCCTGTGCTCCGCAACATCTTATGACAAAGTACTCTGCTCCACCTCTGCCCCTTGGAGACAAAACTTTGGGATGTCTCCTTTCCAACTGTCAGTGTTATCCCTCCTTGTTCAGAACTGCTGGCCATGGAAGGACAGTGACAAATCAACACCTAGGCATCACCAGCACTCATGGTTGCATTTTGGTACTTTAGCAAAGCCCAGCTTCTGGAGACACATTGTAATTTGACAAGCTTTAGCGTTTGTTCAAAAAGCAGGCCAGCAGCTCTCATGGCCACTGAACAAAGCTTGAAATGGGATCCCTGGCAGCTCCTAACTCTGCATATCCATCGCTATTAATCTTACAAACCCTGTGATATTCTCCTTAAGCCAAGCTTATGGTTTGGTGTTAGCAATACTGCTGTGTTAGTAGCACTGGAAGACCTGAAGAGCTCTGAGATAGGAGCAGCCACTGGCATCAGCTGCAGAGTGACACATCTGTCCACAGCACCTTTGTGTGGCCCAGGGCTCTTTGGTACCCAAAGTTTGTGGGTTTGTTCCCTGCAGCAGGGTGATTTTGTTTCTGCAGCCTAGAACACATCCACTGCCAGATCCATTGGTCCAGTCAGACCAATGACCCTCACTTCATGCTTAAGCATAAGTGTAGTTGTTTGGGTTTTTCCCCTAAAGGTGAGTATTTGGGAAAGGTTAAAAGATCCTGAGTAAAAGCAGGGCCTGTAAGGGAGTGATGCTCATGCTGGGAGCTCACAGGATATGTACTCCACTCACCACTTTGCAGCTTAGATGTTTGAATGCGTGGGGCCTCCAGCCCAGAAACTCAAGTGGTTTAACACCTCACAGGGGGAGTGCTGGGGAAAGCACCCCAGATAGCCACCCTTCACAGTCTTTGGCCCCCAGGAACCTGCTTCTCCTCCTGGGCCTTTCACATGGCACCTGTTTTTCCCACTGAGCACCCACCTCTGTACTCACCTGCCCAACCTCCTAATGCTGGGACTTGGCAACAGCCAAGGAATGTCAGGCTACAGCCCAGAGCCTTCTGGAGGTGGATAGAGCCATCCTGGACATTTCAGGAGATGGTCTGAAATCATCTTGGGTGAGTCAGCTCAGGAGCAGATGGTTGAAGGCCAGAGGAGGCAAGAACCCAACTGTAAACAGGAGAGTTACACTGGGTTGAAACAATGAGATGGCAGCATCAGCCCTGTCTACCCACCATCAGATCAATCTCATCCTTCCTAATTTATTCTTATGCACTGTAACCACCATTGTGCACCTTGTCTCTGCATCTGTCCATTCTCGTACACTGTCTGCACCCATCCACCTCTGTCCATCCATTCCCATACTGCCTCTACCCATTCATCTGAGTATCCAGCCCTTCTCATCTATTTAATCCACTGTTCACTCACTCACTCTCCATCCAAGCACACCATGGTGCTAGTTGATTGTCTGACAGTGGTTTCTCATGCTTTGCTGCATGGCCTGGAGCAAGCAAAGATGTGATGAAGGTCTTTTCTGCCAGGGGGACATATCAGGAATAGTAGCTACGTGTGGCTGTGAAGCAGCCTTGCTGGTTTGTTCTATTGCTGGTAAGTGACTGATGCACCACAAAAAAGCAAAATGCCCCATCTGTGTGGCTAGCCAGAAATGAAGATGCATCTTGCTACCCAGAGGTCCCAGTTCACCAGGGGTCATAGAACATCTGAACACTGAGCTTTGAGGTGTGCAGATACATTCCCCTGAAGATTATGTCCACATGTGATGATCTTGCTGAATCAGCAAGATGGCCTACTGTGTAAGAAGGCACCTCACTGCACCCTCATAGTGGCCCTTTCCAGAGTTGTTCCTGGGATTCCCCTGACTTGCTAAATACTGTTGCAGTGTGTGACAGCTCAGGCGGTCCCGCTGCTGGTGTCATTGATAATGAGGCACTTGTGGTCAGAGAAATGTTTCTTTGCAAGTATTGATCAAGTGAAGCTGCAAAGTCTGTGTCCTGGAGTGTTTTTGCTTTCTCTATTCAGCTGGTGTTGATTTGGAGGCACTTGCAGGGCTTTATATTTGAGTGGCTGGCTCCAGCCTATTTCACAAAGCAGCAAGCTGAAGTGTTAAGATATTGTTGACTTGAGGTTGTACTGCATCTGAGCCACCCCAGCATCCTGTCCTCAATCCTACTGACAGCCAGCCTGAATCCTGCCCCTGACTCTGCAGACTTTCACAACTTTGTCCGACAAGCTGATTCACAGTGTTAGCAACCTTGCTGGAGCTTCCTTGTCACCTCTTCTGGTTGTCAGAGGAGGTTTTCAGAGGATATGTGTTCATCCTTCTCAATTGCTCAGCAATTAGCTGCTTTTCCACAGTGTTGTTACTGCCTCAGTTTGAGCTCGGGAATCTTTTGTGCAAGAGAGAGAGACATATCACAGAATAAAAAAGCCATCCCCTGGAATTAATATATGTCTTGGACGCAATACACAAGAAACCCAAAAAAGGCTGGTAATTTGTGCTACTTTATCTCACTGTATCCACTCACTTCCTAAAATGTGTTGGCCTCTGCCTTCATTGCTGGATCACTGCAACAAGATGTCTGCAGGCAGAAAGACCTGTGCTGTGCACTCTGCTTTCCTGCCTCAAGGCAGGAGTAGAAGTAGTCACCTTCTCTCACTGCAAAGTAATTTGGTGCCTCGAGGTCTCAGGCAACATACCTACCTCCGCTCCAAACTCCCTCTCAGAGGTTTGTTACTGCATTTTTTTTAATGCACTCTCTCACTCTCCTTCCTTTCTCCATCCACACGCCATTGTGCTGCTGTTTTTGGTTTTTTGGGTTTTTTTTGGCTGTAATTCACCAGCAAGTACACAAATCTCTGTTCCCACTGCTGAAAAAACCTAGCATGTCTGCAGGTTTCCCCGCAGCTCTTGTGCCACTGAGCACAAGCTGGCAGTAGCCTCTAGCTATGGGGTCCAGCTATGGGCATCAGCTGTGGATCTCCCCTGTGAGAAAGAAAAGATGGCCGAGCCTCGTGTTATGCCGCACCACATCCCCAGGCACTGCAGATTTGTAATGGTGCTTTATTCCTCTTTTTCTTGATCTCTCAAGGGTGCCAGCTCCAGATGAGCTGGCACCGACAGGAGGCATAATTAAGAGTATCAGACAGAGCTGCTCAAAGGCAGCACTGGCTCCCTGTGTAGCCAAAGAGTGTATCTGCACACACAGATGCAGGTGTGTGGGGGCCATTGAGGGCTAATCCCAAGGCCTCACTCTTTGCTGATGTTTTCTCTTGGGGAGAAGCCTCTGGGTCATCCATTGTGCCTGTTTGTGGGCAGGGGTTTCTGGTGTCAGTCTCTTTCAAGAGATTATTTTCTTGCACAGAGGACACATCTTGCCCTGCAGGCCACCTCCTATATCATCTGCTGCAGCTTCATCCCCTCCCAGTGACCCAGAAAGCCCCTTCTTCTTCTTCCCTGAGTGCCTAAGCAGGGTCCTGGCTCTGCTGTTCTTGGCCATCCTCCCAGGTCCTCCTGGCTGGCCACCCTGTTGATGCCTTGATGCAAAGCCCCCCAGCGCCAAGGTGCTGTTGGGATCCTTAGGACTGCTGGTGGCAGCCCATGCTCTCCTCTCACAAACTCCGTTGTCTGCTCCATGTGATGTCACCATGGAGTCTGTCCTTGGAGACTCCAGGGTTGGAGGCTGCAATATGACATGGCCTTGGAGACCCCTGTCTTTCCTTTGTGGTATCAGACTCCCTTTTCTGGACCCTACAATTCCCACTGACTCCTCCACACCTCTGCTCCAGTCCTTTGGAGAGGTAGGTTTGCAGAGGGAGGCTTGGGAAAAGGCTGCCTGCCTCCACCCCCTTGTCCCTTGCAAGCTCAGAAAGTGACTCACCTGGCTATGGTGAGGGGTAAAGGGTTTGGGAAGACAGATGCCGCAGAGTGATGTCAGGGTTGCCAGATGACCTGGCAGCATCAGCACCAAATAGTTTTGGTATTAGGTGGTGATGAGTGTGTTCAAGGTTGTGAGGTTCTCCTGGTGTACGTGTATTGCCCTCACATGCCATGGCACTCAAGTTCACACAGTACCAGGAGCCGGATCATCTTTCTTCATAATGGCAATCAGAAATAACAGTTTCTGCGAAGGACGAGTCATTGCCCAGTGCTGGCTGTCTTCAGATGCTGACACTGCATGCTTACACAATTTCACACACGGCAGGCTTGGAGGCCCATGCAAGCATTGCAATTTCGAGGCAGTCTGAGTGCTTGTCTTGAATTTTGAGACACAGACCCTGCACCAGCACCAACCTGGAGACCAGAGGTGAGATCACTTAGAAAGTTTGGAGCAAGAGCTGGAGAATTTATTTTCAGGTGTTTTACTTCCAGCATTAAATAAGAGGTCATTTGAAACATTTGAGTGCTGGCATGAGCAAATAAAGCAAAGAGCCCAGTAGAAAATCAGAGCAGAAGACCTTTCAGCTTTGAGCTATTGGGGCAAACCCAGGCTTCACCATTACATATAAAATTGTTCTTTAAGACACTCTGATTAAAGTAAAAACTCTCTAGAAGTTTAATGAGCTTTTTCTTTGCCTTACAGAATATTGGCAAAAAGATGTCGTGTCAACAGTTCATAGCAAACCTGGATGGGCTGAATGATGGGAAGGACTTTGCAAAGGATTTGCTAAAGGTAATGCGATATAAATAGGCAGTGGGATACTGTCATTATTATTATAGTGCTAAATAGTCCTGCTGGGACACTCTGAGCCCTTGAATCAGCATTTTCCACAATTATTTCATTAGAAGAACCGTAACCCACATGGATAGCTTCTGCTAACGTGCAGCGAGCCACCAGAGGTCTGTTCCCTAGCAGTGTTTTATCCAGATTTGTGGCATATCTGCCCTCTCCCCCACAATAGCTCTGTGATGCACCAGACAATGCACAGAACAAGGTACCCCCCACCCCCAAATATGACCATCTGGCACTGACACTGATGTATTTAGATGTAGTGCTCCAACACAACTAGTTCAGTACTATGGGATATTGGTTAAACACCGTAAAGTGAGTATTTTCTCCTTCCACGTGGTTTAACACCACCACTGTTGTCTGCACCTGCTGCAGGTGCAGCAACCTGACCTGGATTTTGCTGTATGGAAAAAGGTTGAAATGACCAGTGCCACATCAGGGGTGTCACACCGTGCTTTAGACAACACCCCTACCTCCCAGCAGACCTCACCCTACCCCACTGCTTAGTATGGTCAGGTCCACCTCCACATTCTGCTTTCCTAGCCCGTTCCTGCTTTTTTCCCAGTGCCTCAGGGAAACCACTGGAATTTTGCACAGGAGGAACTGGAAAAGCTGATCCCTGAGGTCATTCATCCCTCCTCTGCTTCTCAGGGCAATATTCAAGCCTCCACTGTCCCTGTCCCCTAGTCAAGACATTGGAGGTGTCTTGGCATACCCCAGTCTTCTACCATCTTTGTGTAGGCCAGCATTCACTCAGGACTAGGCACAGCACCCAGAATTAGTAAAAAATGTCATATATACCGGCTCCTGAGCAAGGCTGGCTGCCAGACCCCTCTGCTGCTGACATGTCCAGTCCAATACCAGGCATGGCACATAGAAAGGGTCTAACAGGACAGCAGTTGTCCTACTTCTCCAGGGCAGTTCAGCAAGGAAGGTGTCTCTCCAAGAACAAAGACAAGATGTGGAGGAGATGGTCTCCGCAACCCCGACATGTCTTCCATGAGAGACACAGCTAATACCATGTTCTTGTTTCAGACACTATATAACTCAATCAAGAATGAGAAGCTGGAGTGGGCCATGTAAGTATATGTTAAGCATTTGAGAGATAGTGTGTCTTTTGAAGTAGCTGACAGGTCTTGAGTCATGTTTTTAGCCCCAGGAGCTCCCAGAACATTTCCTGCCAAGCCCTTAAGCACTGAAGTCCCTCCTGTAGGCAAGCTGGGTTTATTTATCGCTTAGACACAAAAGCAGACAGGGAGGTTGGTGACAGTCTGTGGACGCAGGGTCCACAGGCATGATCTAAAGGAAGGGAATGCCCTCTTTGTTTACTATAACACCTATAAAATGCTGGTCCCCCTCCAGGTGCTTCAGAGGTCTTTGTACAAGGAGCTCAATACCTGGGGTTATTGTGGTGACTGAGACTTTCCATCTCTTCCACATAGTTTCTTCTGGAAATAGTATCAGAGAATCACTCAGGTGGGAAGGGACCTTGTGAGATCTCCAGTCCAGCTTCCTCCTCAAAGTGTGGTCAACACTGAATTCAGACCAGGATGCTCAGGGCTTTATTCAGTTTAATCCTGAAAACCTCCAAGGACAGAGAACCCACAGCCCCTCTGGGTCCATGAATCCATGCATAATTATTCTGAGAGTGGCATTTTTTTCCTTATCCATTTGAAACCACTGTTGTTTTGACTTATGCCCACTGTCTGTAGTCCTCCTGCCATGCACTGTAGTGAAGAGCCTGGCTTTGTCCCCTGAATAACCTCCTCACACATGGCTGTCATGAGGCCCCCTAAAGCCATCTCTTCTCTAGGTTGAACAAGTCCAGTTCCCTTAGTCACTTCTTACAGTGCAAGTGCTCCAGCCCCCAGGCATCTTGGTGGCCTC